TGACCTGAGCCGAAGGCAGACACTTAACAGACTGAGCCACCCTGATGCCCCCTGCTTTCTTAATACTGTATTTATTTATTTGACAGAGAGAGAGAGAGAGAGAGAGCATGAGCAGGGGGTGGAGCAAGGGGAGAGGGAGAAGCAGGCTCCCCGCTGAGCAGGGAGCCCAACTCTGGGCTGGATACCAGGACCCTGGGATCATGACCTGAGCCGAAGGCAGACGCTTAACTGACTGAGCCACCCAGGCGCCCCTGATTATATACTTTCAAGTTGGGAGGGGGTTAGGGAGGCATCATCAGTCTCTAAGGAATTTTGGAAGCAAGGTTCCCAGGACCCTGAGGGGGCTAGCTATTGTTAGGAAAAGGTCATTTATTACCGTCTAATAAAACCTTAGTCATGAGACCCTTCAGATGTGTATCGGTGGGTCATATCCTTGGAGGATGACTGCCAACATGGATCTTGAGGGGTAGAGATAAAGGTGCCAACATGGATCTTGAGGGGTAGAGATGAACGAAGTTTCCAAAGGAATTTCTATATGTTAAAGTAGACTTGCAGGGTCCTGGGAGTCGGGCTAAGACCGTCTTTTGCCCTTAGCAAAGTAACATCGAGGCAGCTGAGTTCCTAGAGGAAGGTCACTCTGCCTGTTTCAAGGACTTGTCAATGGGCTGAAGGCAGTATGGAAATTTAATTTTTCTTTTGCCTTCGTTTCCCACATCACCTTCTTTCGGCTATTGAGCTCTTGAAATATGGCTAGTGAGACTGAGAAACTGAATTTGAAATTTTATGTAGTTAATGTAGAGTTACAAACTCAAGCAGTGTCAGATATTATTCTGCTAAATACAACTTTCCTGTTTGGGTTGGACTACATTTTCTTGACCCTTTGAAAATTAAGTGTCTGATGTGTGATGCGCCGTCAGCGTGAAGTACTCCCTGGATCTCAAAGACTTAAGGTAAAAAGAAGAATGTAAAATATCTCCTTAATAATGTTTACATTGGTTCCGTGTTGAAATGATGATACTTTGGATATATTGGGTTAAATAAAAACCTATTATTAGAATTAACTGCCCCCGTTTCTTTTCACTTATTTTAAGGCAGCTCCTGGAAAACAGTAGGCCTCACGAGTGGCTCTGTGTGTTGTTCTGGGACGGCACTGGTCTAGGCCACCTCCCTCTCACCCAAGGGAACAAACATGCTTGTGATTTGACTCCTCCCCAGAGTCTCTCTCCCTGGCCTCTAATGACAGAAGAGGTTCCGGAAGAGAAACGTTCCCCATGTTTGCAACATGGACAAGTATATCCATTCCTCGGTGAAATATCCCCACAGGTGGGGATCTCAGGTAGACCCATCCTGCTCAGAGCACCTCCCCTTTGGCAAGGCCCAGAAGACCTGAAAGGCAACAGGGGTCTCCCTGAGCGCCTGCAGAAGCAGGAACACCGCGTGTACCTCTAACGCGACATTTATCACGTTCTGTTATCACCGGCTTCTTCTGTTTCTGTCTCCTCCCTCCCTCACGCGGCTCTGACCTCCCCAGAGCTTGGGCTCAACCCTGCACACGATGATGAGACGCTCGGTTCTGCGCTGTTCTCTGCACCTGCCCTCCTCTGGCCCCTCTGGCCCCGCCCCGCTGACCAGCGCTTGCTCCCCACAGGCTCTCCTGGTGGTTCTGCGCCACTCCCTACAGCGTTCTTATCTTTATCTATGATGAAGTCCGAAAACTCATCATCCGACGTCATCCTGGCGGTGAGGCTCCCCACGCCCTGCTCTGAGGGGTCCCCAGCCTCCTAACTGGCTCTCCCCTCCTGCCTGTTCCGGGGGGCCGGGTCTGTCTCTCCCCACCCCACAGCCTGCATGTGCTGCCGGGAAGGTCCTGACTCCTGGCCTCCACCATCCTGCTCCTTCCAGTCCTCGGGGCCCTGAGTTCTACCGCAGGCCTCCTACCTTGTCCTCACTCCCCTCCACCTTCCCCAGTTCACTCAAGTTTCCTCTCATCCACAGGCTGGCTGGAGAGAGAGACCTACTACTGAACTCAGCAGAAGAAGAGCTTCCCCTGCCGGGGGCATCCCAGGGCTGGGGGCGGGGGCGGGGGGAGTTGGGGTTATGAGCTTGGCGCATCTGAAAGAAAATGAGTGGGGGCAGAGATGCTGGGATGAATTACCCGGGATGAGAGAGACAGGCAATCCTGGGGCTGGACTGAGGGCACGGCGGGGTGGGTGGACGGCAAGCACAGGCTATGTCTGGCTGGGGCCCAGTGGGAGAGGCGCTGTCCTGTTGAATCAGTAGCCAGTCTAGAGAATAAATGTTTGCAATAGTCCTCACCTGGCTGGATGTGTCCGTCTGGTTTCTGAAAAGAGGGGATTACTGTAATGGTGTCTCCACGGGAGCCGGGCAGGGTGGTCTTTCGGGGACCGAGTCGAGGCTGGGAGGGGGTCAAAATCAAGCATCCCTGCCCCTTGAGGGCTAAGCCCCGACTTAAAGTCCGAAGACCCGAGGGAAAGCAAGGACAGGACAGGTGGAGCAGGATCAGAGGCACAGGAGAGATGAGCGAGAGGCGGTAGAGGGGGCCACAGCACCCCTGTCCAGACTGGCACATGGACTCATCATGGAACTTCAGTGCTAGAAAAGACCTTAGTTCATCCACGAAGAACCCGAGGTCCAGACAGGACCTGGGAAGCGTCCCAGGGTGAGTGGCAAACGCAGGGCCGGCCACCGCCTTCCTCTGGGGACCGGAAGCTGGTCCTTGCCTCCACACCCTGCCCTCGGGCATCTTGACCCTGTCCCATCATTCGGGATCCGGGATCCCGTAGCCTTGACTTTAGGTGAAGCACCCTGCCCTTTTGCACCCAGGCTCTGCCCAAGATGACAGACATTCCTCAAGGTCCGGGGTCCGGAGCCTGAGAAGCTGGGCCCGGGCTCCCTGCTGTGTCTCAGGTGGAGGACTCAGAGGTGCCCTGGGCCCTCGCCCCTCCCGGCCACCGTCACATGTGGCTCCTCCTTCCCCTTCGGCCCTGCGCTGGCTGTTGCTCTGTGAGCTGGTCCACTTTGCCCTGGAGGGCAGGGCATGGTCACACCCCTTCGGGGGCTGAGCCCAAAGCATGCAGAGCAGAGAGAAATGCTGAGGAAGCCTGTTGGAAATCACAGACGGTCATCAAAACCAAAGCGTGTGTGTTAAGGGACCGCACAGCGTGCCCCGCGGGGGGATGAGCGCCCTGTGCACACCGTCCAGCAACTCACACAACAAGTAGCCTCTAAGCACCCAGCCTGTTTCGCCGATGAGGACGCCAAGGTCTGTCTGACTCCAACACTTACGCCCTTAACCACTTACGGCCCAGTCCCGCAATGAGGGCTGCGCCGAAAACACCCAACTACAAAACTACAAAACCGAAACCGGAACAATAGGGTCGTGAGCAGGGGGAGGTCCGTGGATGGCTCTGGAGGATGAGAGGCAGTGGGTTCTGTAAGGTGTAGCCAGCCACTCGGCCCTGCATCAGGCTCCTCCTAAGGTCCCTTCCACCCGTTGCCCTCCCTCCTCCAACAGCAGGTCCCCTAGGGACAGGGCTATATCGGTCTGGGGTCCTTCCCCTGCTGCTGACACAGCTGAACCAGGCCTGGAAGATGGAGGGGCCAGGGCGTGGGGACTGAGTGGGGACGGGAAGCGCCGAGGGGCCAGCTCCTCGGGTTTCAGTAGCAGGAGCTTCGGGTGTCTGGTGGGTTAAAAATACAGAGGCCCCAACTCAGAGTCATTTGATACTGGCTGCTGAGGCCTATTAAGTCCAAGGGCCCCAAGGCAGGGGTCCAGAGGGAAGGGACGGAATAGAAATTAGGGAGCAAAGCAGCAGGGAGAGTGGGGTGGGGAGCAGGAGGGTGCAGCTGCTGGGATGGACTGGGTGGGACTGGGGGGCCCAGGTCACCATTTAGCCCCATCTCACACCCTTGGGGGTGCCGAGGGGCAGGTCCAATGTTCCGGAGTTTCCCCCTCCCCCGGAGTGCAGCAGAAGTTGGAAATCCACGCCCTCCCTCCTGCGGGCCTTCCGTCTGGCCGTGGGGCTGTGGGCCGCTCAGTCGCTCTCCTGGGAGCCCGGGAGATGTGCTCCGAGGCCCCTTTAGCTCCAACCGGCCCTGCTCAGGTTAGCTCTGGCCTCTCTTGCTCCAGGGACAGCTGTCTCTCTTGGACCCCCTCCTGCCACGTTCTTGAGATTTTCCGTGGCCTTCCTTGCTTGGCGGTGCAAGGCCCACCCCACAGGAGGGGGAAAATTTATTCCTCTAACACAATTTCATGCCCCTGCCTGGGTGCAAAATAAACCCTGTCTCTCCAAAATCAGAGACAGCTCAGAGTGCAGATGGAGCGCTTTGATCTAACCTCTCCCATGGGCTCCCCTGTGCCTCAGTTTACCTGTGCCTGGTAAGAACGCTGGAGGGCCATGAGGAGGGTCCTCCCTTCCTAGGTACCCAGAGCTGAACTCATCCACAGCCCTCACCCCAGGATGGGGCCCAGGAAGTTAGAGCCCC